TCTTTCCCTCCAAGCACCACTCCCCCGACCCGTCCCTCACCCCCGACCATGTTCAGGGCTCCGTGTCTTCACCTCTGTTGTTTTGTTCATGCTTTTCCCCTGCCAACTCTGCTTGCTGAATCCTGACCCCACTGACACCCAGCTCTGCTAAGCTTCCTCATCCCACCTCCTTCCCTGACATGTGACTTTCACTTCTCTTTGGGCACTTAGAGGCATAACCCGCCAGTCAGGCCACCCATGGCGAGGCAATGGATGGGGGCAGGTGAGGGAAGACTTAGCTGAGAAGAGGCTGGACTGTAACGGACCCAGAGTCAGGGGCACAGAGGGACAGTGCAGTAACTGCCTCCTCAGCCCACTGTCCAGCAGGCGGGTGAGGGAACAAGTATGAACCCAGGAGGAGGGTGAAGAGGCAGGCATGGGCCAGACTTTAGAACTCAGAAGAGCCAGAACAGGGGGTCCTGCTGATTCAGCCTTTGATCCTGGGAAGGAAACCAGGGTGGTGCATCAGTTAGAACACAGCCGCATGTAACAGAAAACTAAGTAACAGTGGCTTAGGTAAGACAGAAGTTTATTTCTCTCTCATATATGGCAGCTTCACAGGGTCCCAGGGACTCAGGCTGTTATTAGCTCACCACTCCACCATCCCTAAATATTAAGCTTCACCCTCGTGATTCAAAATAGCTGCTAGAGCTCCAGCCATTACAACTGCATTCCAGGTCAGCAGCTGGAGGAGAAGTCCAAAGAAGGGCCTCTTCCTTTTAAGGACACTTCCTGGAAGTTCCAACACATATTTTGTCCACATTTAGCCCCATGGCCTCACCTAGCAGCAGAGGAAATGCTGGGAAATGAAGTCTTTTGCTGAATTCGTTGGCTCTCAGAGAGTATTGGCAGTGGTTCTTTTTTTTTTAATATTTATTTATTTTTATTTGGCTGCATTGGGTCCTAGTTACGGCATGTGGGATCTTCGTTCTTCGTTGTGGCATGAGAACTCTTAGTTGCGGCATGTGGGATCTAGTTCCCTGACCAGGGATTGAACCCGGGCCCCGTGCATCTGGGAGCCTGGAGTCTTAGCCACTAGACCACCAGGGAAGTCCCGTGGCAGTGGTTCTTAAACTTGAGCAGATGTCCTAATCAACTGGAGGGATTGTTAAAACTCAGAGTGCTGGGCCCAACCCCAGAGTTTCTGACTCAGTAAGGCTGTGGTGGAATCTGAGAAACTGTGTTTCTAACAAGTTCCCATGGATGACGATGCTGCTGTGTAGCGGTCACACTTTGGGAACCACTGTCTAGGACCGCTAGGATGAAGGATGAAGGACGACGGGATGTTGGGGAGGTACTAGCCATCTCCATCACAGGCAGGGCGGGGACCCGACTGCATCCCACGAAGGGCCACTAGCGGCGTCACCACCTCCTTGCGGTCGCTGGCGTGTCCTCCCGCCTCTCGCCCTTCTGCCCACTCTCCGCGCACCGCAGTGCAAGAAGGATCGTCCACTGGTCATCCGTAACGACTCTGGCACGTGCAAAGCTGGCTTTGCTGGGGATGACGCGCCCCCAGCCTTGTTCCAGTCCATGGTCAGTCGTCCCCGACACCGGGGCGTCATGGTGCGCGTGGAGCAGAAGGATAGCTACGGTGGGGGAGGAGGCCCAGAGCAGGCGGGGCATCTTGACCCTCAAGTACCCCGTGGAGCACAGCATCATCAGCAACTGAGAGGACACAAGGGACACCTAGTACCACACCTCCTACAGTGAGCTGGGAGTGGCCCCCAAGGACCACCTGGTGATGCTGGCCAAGGGGGCTGCCACCACAACCACAAGGCCAGCCGTGAGATGACCCAGATCCTGTTCGAGACGTTCAACATGCCCTATAAGTGGCCATCCAGGCCGTGCTGTCCCTGTGCGATGCCTCTAGCTGCACCTCTGGTATTGTTGTGGACTCGGGGGGTGGGTCACCCACATGGTGCCCGTCTCCGTGGGTTTATGCCCTGCCCCAGCCTTCCTGCGTCTGGACCTGGCTGGCTGGGACCTCATGCTGCCTGGCTACAGCTTCACCACCATGGCTGAGAGGGAAATCACATGTGACGTCAGGGAGCAGCTCTACGATGTGGCACTGGACTTGGAGCAGGAGATGCCACCACATCCTCCTCCTCCCTGAGAAGAGCTGTGAGCCACCTGACGGTCAGGTGCTCCCCATCGACAAGGAGCGGGTTCTGTGTCCACAGGCGCTTTTACAGCCCTCCATCCTGGGTTTGGGGTCCTGTAGCATCCACGAGACCACCTTCCACTCCATCATCAAGGGTAACGTCAACATCCACAAGGACCTGTCCGCCTTCAATGGTGCTGTCTGGTGGGACTACCATGTACTGCGGTATCCTGGACAGGATGCAGAGGGAGATCAGGACCCTGGCTGCCTGCAGGATGAAGATCAAGATGCTCACTCCCAGGACTTCCCTGGCGGTCCAGTGGCTAAGACTCTGCACTCCCAATGCAGGGGGCCTGGGTTCAATCCCTGGTCCCACATGCCATGTGGCAGAGCCAAAAAAAAAAAAAGAAAAAGAAAAAGATGCTCACTCCTCCCGAACACAAGTACTTGGTGGGGATCAGGCTTCACCCTGGCCTCAGCCAGCAGGACCCGGCCTCTCCATCGTCCACCACAAATGCTTCTAAACAGACTGCAAACATGCACAGCATTTGCTGCGTGGGTTCATTCAGAAGTATAAATTTGCCCTGGTGAGTGTACACAAGTCGTGCCAACCTCATGAAACTGGAATAAACCTTTGAAAATTGTCCTTGAAGTTCATATCTGCGATTGTAGAACTTGATGCTGATGTTGACCTTGTATTCATTCAATTGTTGCCTTGGTGTATGTTCACTACCCTGTGCATAACTTTGATCTAAACCCCTAGTTACAGGCGGCTCTGTCATTTCGTGGCTGAGGTGAGAAAATATTTATGGAAGAGAAATCGTTGGCTGGATGAGAATCTGTGAGACTATGAATCTCCCGATCTGTGCAGGGTATTAACATGTCAGAACTGCCTATTGCAGGATTTCTCTAGAGGCTGGCAAGAGTCCTGAACCACCTGTCA